TACAATGTAATTGTAGACAATCCAGATAAAATTCTAGGTCTATATATTCCTTCATCGGATTGGAATTTTGGTCTGAGTGCCAAAGCCATTGCCATTACTGTTTTGAGTCACAGGCATTTTTGTTCCTGATTCTGGTACCTGCTTTGAGCTCATTTCCTAATGTTAACTTTTATGTGGTATTCTGACCTCACTCCATGTAATTTTATTTCTGACTTCAGCATATATTCAGCGCGCGCGCACACACACACACACACACACACACACACACACACACACACACACACATTTAAAGATGAAAAGTGAAATTACAGATAAAATGGTGGGGAGGTGGTAGGCAAAACTGGCTTACATTCCCCCTCTGGGCCCCCTTCCCTCCCCTCCCTTCCCCTCCACTCCCCTTCCCTTCCTTTTCCTCTATCCCTGAGAGCCCTTTTCCACTGAGGACTTGTGGAAGGTGTTGAGGTGTGGATGAAGGCTTGAAATATGTTAGTGGGAAAAGCTCTAGTGTCAGATGGTAGTGATTAAATATTTTATTCGAAATTCCCTGAGCCCCACTCTGAGCTAGGAAAGAAAACAGTTATGGGTTAGAGAAATGGGAGAAAGGCAGCAAAGATGTGGATTGTGTTGGTGAAATGTGGCCCTATGGAATGAATGTGGCACTTGGCCACATATCCCCTAGAAGGATGTCCAAATGTGGATGTGCTTATGCCATAACAGCGCTAAAGATGTATCTCAGGGTTATTTATGTATATGTGTGTGTATAGGTCTATTTGTTTGCCTTTGGATAAGCATTCAGCAGTCTTATCATCTCTACTTTGAAGCTATTTTTATGTCAAGTTTATGACCAGGATGGTCTCTTCCAGTACTCTGTGACTTCTTTTTCTAACTGTAGTTAGAATTGTAGTTGATTATCTTGTAGGCCTTTTCTGAAGGTAGTTCAAAGTCATATGACATTAACTGCTTCTTTGAAACTAGTAAATATGACTATAAAATGTGGCACAAGCCTTAAATTCTACCCATAGAACATTTGCATATAATGAAAATGTGTATAATTGAAATATTATTATTAAATAGCATATGTTTTCTTATGAAGACTAATTTCAAAATAATTGCCACTATCTAAATTGTACAAAATCATTTAAAAAATCCTTGATGTTCACATTAAACATTTTTTGGGATGGTAAATTGAAACAAATTTTAAACTTTAGATTTCTTCGATTATTGTAACTCCCAGAATTTGCAATGCAGTCAACTTTTCAAAAAGGGTTTGAAATAGTGAAAAGATCTTTATTTCATTCCCAAGATTCCATGATTAAAAATTAAAGTTGTATGGATATCAATCTCAGGTCATAGTTTTTTTCAAATTATATTCTAAATTTTTAAGAATTACCAATTTTCCATCCACTGTCTTTTCTTCCACTCTTTCTTACTTTCTTGTTTATTCCACAGTTTTTTTGATTCCAAAGGACTTTTTCATCAAATACAAGTCAATATTAGTAATCAACTTTTTAGAAATTTAGTTTATTGCATTGATCTTAACTTTTAGCAATTGTTTTGAATTTGAAAACAACTTAAATTATCGTTGATACAAACCATATCTATTTACACATTTTTATCTAGGAAACAGTCATGGTCCTGTGATCCCTTTGGAATTAGGAAGTTCATAGAGCTAAAGGAGATAATTGGAACACCAACAAATTGCTCTATCAATGGAAGATTTCTTCTCATATCTTTATTCTTAAGATGACATAATGAAGAAAGGTTAAACTGGTTTTTATCTCAAAATATTCTGCCTATTATCAAATATTTCTGGGTGAAATATGGTAATTGATATCTAAATAAGACAATATGAAACTGATGGAATGTCAGTACTACTGCATTAGTATATACTCAAGTTACAGATCAAAGTTAATTTTATAAAGGCACATATATAGTCCCTTTTTGTCCTCTGTATCTTTCCCTTTCGTGTACATGTTCATATCACAGTTTCTTGAACAAATGTTCTCTTGTTCCATTTATACAAGTTTACAGACCTAAAACTAACATAGGCTTTTTTTTTCTTTGCTCCAGTTAATCTCTAGAATTGTACCAGAATTAGGACAGCTTAGATTAGAATTATTTACAAGGCTGGAGTAGAATGTGTATGCTTCTAAAAATGTATTTGGTAGGTATATGTAGGTTTCTGGAACACCAAAAATATTTGAGCACCCTTAAGATAACTTGGCTCTAGTCAAGAGTTCAGACTTCAAACAATCCCAGCATTCCAAGCACCTGCCACACTGAAACCAAACCCTTCACTGTTGAACTGAGCCAAAGCCTCCTATTTAATCCCAGTAATTAATAGGCTTCCCAGTCTATTTCAGAATCAAAAAAGCCAACAGATAATCAGGGAGGTGAGTATATTAATAGTTGAAATATTTGATGGCCTAACATCAAGGAAGAGGAACTGGACATTAAAATTGTAGATATGTGTAGTATCTCAGTCATTTAAAGAAAGGTTAAATTATATAGTATCCTCTGGAAAATAATTTTCACTGTATATGTAGGAAATTTCACTTATCTGAAAATAAGCATGAAAAGCAGAATGAATTATTAATACTTTTCCCATAGTGTCACATAACAGGAAGACCTGGATAGGACTCAAAGCATGGAGGTTAGGAGCACATAAGTGTAATTTTGAGTATATAGAACAAACATTTAAAATCAGAAGGCATATTGAGTGTGAGTAGAACAGATCCACGTACATTTAAGTCTAAATTTCTTATATCTGAATAAACTAATTTGGTAAAAATAAAATATTTCTTCTTCCAGATTGGCATACTCCTGATAGCCTGCCTGTTTCTAGGCCACTTCTTCTTTTCATGGGTTGCTGAGTGATTAAGGAATACAAAATTTCATAGCTTACTGTAAAGCCTTTTAGAATGAAGCACAGGTACAAATAACAAACACATATAAAAGGAAGACAAATTTTAGTATTAGTGTATATCTATAAGAAAATTGTATCTTCTTTGGGAAGATCATTTTGAAAGGGAAATTGAATTTATAAAGAATTATTGTTGTTGATACAGCCATATAATTCAGGAAAAGCAGAGCTTAGAATAGTCAAAAAAGGACCTAAATTCTGGTTATTAGTTATAAACATCAGAATACCACCTTGTGTTTATATAGCACCTGTTTCTTAGTAGGTGAAAGACCGATGATACAAGGTTTTTGTTTTTATTTATTTTTATTTTGTTTTGAGTTTGGCTTTAGTTTGTTACATTAATCAATATTAGTTATATAACTGTGTAGTTGGAAGGATGTTGGTCTCATTAATATTTTACTAATTTGAGAATAGGTTTAGAATTATAGGTGATTTGAAAAAGCTGCAGAGCTTTTTCATGCTGGCTTGGAAATGCTGAGTTTTTCTCCAACATGGGTTGCTAGAGCTGCTGTTTTTATTTTTGCACCATCAGGTTTTTCCATGAAATTCTTTTTTTCAGTAATCATTTCTTCTTCTTCTTCTTTTTTTTAAAGCTATCCATAAGGTAGAGGATAAAAATAGGCCCAAAGTTTTCATTAGATATTTTTTCTACACAAATACTATTCCTGAGTATCCCTATCTACAAAGTGACCTCTCTAATTGACTAATTCTGCTGTTGAAACTCTTTGCAGCAATTGCTGCGGTAATAAACCACCACCAATTTGAAACCCTTCATTTTGTTTTGCCACAAAGGATGTGTTACTAAACCACATTTCTCAATATTTTCAGATTCATTTGCTCCACGTAAAAAGCCAATGCATTTTTGTGAACTCTGAGAGTAAGAATTTTGTCTTCAAACTACCATTTAATTGGACAGACCAGTGTTATAGATTCTGTTTTATTTATTAAATTATTATTATTTGCAAGCATTCTGTTCAAATATGTTGGATTCATCAAAGTTCCATCTGACCAGCGGTATGGTCCCTCTTTCACCCCAATTTTTCTGTATTTAACTCATCACTACCCAGCCCTTATTTTACTACCATAATTATATAATTAAACTTTTATATTTGCTTGTGCATGATTATTATATGTGACAGATATAGAAAAAAAATTAAAATTTAGAGTAAAGGAAGATGAGTAAATTTACTCTCATGGCTTGCTGATTTTTAATAGTAATATTTAATTTTCTTTTAGCGTCTTAATATGCATGCAATTTATTGTATTAACTTTTACAGTGGTTTATACTGAAACTGAATGACCACTACCTTATGAAAGTTTTACTAAACTATATTTCTCAAATACAGATTTTTAAAATTGCATTTTGATCAAGGAAAGTTCAATTTAGCGCAAGTTTTCACTATGTTTTAAAATTAATAAGATAAATAGTAAATATTTGTAATATAGTTTATTATTAGGAGTTTGAAAGCTATTAGCTAATAACATTTGCCTTTTATTTTTATTACGTGATCTCTTGTGTATATAACATGATTTAGTATGATGACATCTTCACTCTCCTATTCTCCCTTATATCTATTTGTTACTTTTCAAAAGTCTGGAAAAATAAATTGTTGTGTTTTGTTTTTTGATAATAAATCTTTTTCTAAATGATGGTCAACCTTTTCCAGCTTTAACAAACTCCCTAAGAATTGCCTACTTTATTTGCTTCATGAGGAAAAAGATATCTGGTGTACAATGAGTTATCATGCAGTGATTTATGTCAAGCAGTTGCACATGTACTCAGTTCCATGGTTTGTGCTAACAACCATTGTTGGACCAGGCATTTCTCCAAAGCTCATGAGTTAGGGAATGGTAATTATAGCAAGTTGTATATTATAAATAATGCATGTATGTTCCGCATGAGCTATGTAGGATTTTGGCCCATTTGCTAGAACATAGTTGCATAATGATTTGTTTGGATTTTGTTGCAGATGATTGATAGTGCAGAATGTTGGCAATGATGTAAATTACTGTTGGGCTGCCTTGAAAATTTCAGTACAAGTGGTGATTTCTTCTCTTTTTCTGTGTGCTTGTCTAGTCTCGGCAGACACCTGAGGGTGAGTTCCTTCCCCTTGACCAACTTGAACTGGATGTAGGTTTTAGTACAGGGGCAGATCAACTTTTTCTTGTGTCCCCCCTCACAATTTGCCACGTGATCGATGCCAAAAGCCCCTTTTATGACCTATCCCAGCGAAGCATGCAAACTGAACAGTTCGAGATTGTCGTCATCCTAGAAGGCATTGTGGAAACAACTGGTGAGTAAAAACATAGATATGCCATCAAGTTTCTTTATTCCATAATGACATTGTATGATATGCACAATACCTGTTATGAATTGGGCTAAATGACTAAGAGTTCACAATAATGAAAGTAATGGTTTGCCTCGTATTTCTTTGTAACATTCAATTGATACCACTTTGAAAATCAAGACTTACTGTTTTGATGGTTATATACATAATATTAACTCAGGAATACTCTGCAAAAAAACAAAGGAAACTGAGATGACTCTTAGAAATGATTATAATGTTCTATTTTAATTACAAACTTGACTTACATATAATAATGATTTTCCTTTAAAAATTTAAAGTTGAAAATTAGGGTAATTTAGTGAGCAACCTGTACTAAGCATGCATATTCTTGCCTTGGTGATGGTGATTTGGGGAGTCATTGATAAAACTTTGATATCTACTATGTGCAACCTCAGTGGAAAATCCCCTGTGTGTGTGCTCATGTGTGCTGTGTATGCTAAAGCAGTAGTTTAATTTCAAAGTGGGTCAGTAGATTTCCCCAGCTGAACCTTGACCAAATTTTTTTTTTAAAAAGATTTTTCTTCTTTTTCTGCTTTAGTATAGCTATGAGCTGTATGTTCTTACTTAAGATGCAATATAATGTGGATATGCCCCAAATACTTACAATTTGCTACTTTCTGAGGAGAGAAAGGGAAAGAAGGAGCGAAGGGAAGGAAACAATAAATATGGGCATATTATTTGGGGCAGAAACATTGGCAGTTGGTTTAGAATCTGCTGGGTGTTTGGGACTAATGATGCAGTATCCATATAATTATATATATATATATATACACGTGTGTGTGTGTGTGTGTATCTTGAGTTTTACATTTTCTATGAGTAATGAGAGAACAAATATATTAACTTTTAGCTTTTTGTTTAGCAATATCATCTGAATGTCAAAAAGCTAATTATTATAAATAAACTATAGCAGTATTGAAGTTAACATTAACAGTAACATAGATGAATTCAAGCTTTATACCAAGGTAGAAGATCTTTTATGATGTAACAGTGACTTTTGTCCAAGGAGCAAGGGTAGCCAAGCCATTGTCATTTAAGCACATCTGTCACATAATAACTATAGTATCTGAAATTTAGGGAAGATATTTAATCTCTAAAAGTTTCTTTCCTTCTCTTTAAAGTGAGATGATATAATAACCACCTCGAATGTGCTTGTAGCATTACTATTGCCTAATTATTACTGCTTCAAAAGTAAGATTTTAAGAACAGCAAGAAAAGATTTAATGTATCTATATATGAAATTTTATTTCTGTCTACTAATTTATGATTTAAATCCCTCATTCAACTTTTCAACTTGAAATTGAAATGTCATAGTATTTTTTTAAATAACATATTGGTAAAGAATACAACTCATTTATAAAGGCTCTTAGTCAAAGAAATCTTTAAATTTCAATTCTCATTTTTATCCATCTCATTTATTAAAATAATAATGTATTATTAGAGCTTAAAAACGGATGTTGCCATATTTATTTATTATGGCATATGGTTCTTTCTTTTACACACCTGCTTATAGTTTACCAATTGCTTATTATTATTCTAACCACTGACATAAGATTTGTTTCACTTGACAGCCTTAAAATCTTTTATTAGATCTATTAGATCTATCTACCTACCTATCTAGCTAGCTATACACTCACTTATTCCTGTTTTTTCCATAAATATTAAATGTATTTCTTAAGAGTGAAAGCATTTTCCTATAAAATCACAGTCTAAAGATGGAATAGAGTTATTCCACTTTAATTTACATTGTGTTCCTTCACCTTGATGTACTTGAAGAACATAGGCCAGGTATTTTGTGGAATGTCTCTCAGTTTGGATGTGTTTGAGGTTTCCTTATTCATTAATTCTTTTAATTTGGGGCTTCCACATGGGTATCTGAAGAGAATATTGAAGCAGGTTGTTTTAAAATTTTACCTATATTTCAGAGCAGGGGGCCTCAAACTTTTTAAACAGAGGGCCAGTTTACTGTCCTTCAGACCTTTGGAGGGCTGGACTATAGTTTTAAAACAACTATGAACAAATTCCTATGCACACTGCACATATCTTATTTTGAAGTAAAAAAACAAACAGGCAAAAACCCCCACATGTGGCCTGCGGGCTGTAGTTTGAGGACGCCTGTTTCAGAGGGTCATCATTAGTAAATAATGTACTGTATAAGGTCATGAGGCATTTTCTAACATAAATTATGTGTTAGATTTTAATACTTCCTCCTTCCTGCTTTTTTTTTTTTTTTAATAATCAACTGGCAGAGAATACTCTCTACAGAAAATGTGAAAACTTGGCTGGAGACTGAATTTCTTATTTAGAAGTTGCCTTTAATGGAGAAGAGATGATAGTCTGCTTCCTCTTAACCTCTTTATTAAGCCTGTTTTCTACATCTAGTATAGCCAGACAAACAACAAAACATTATTCACGATTTATAAAATTTATTTTGTGGAAAATTTATCTGACACTTTGTATGTATGCCCTAACTAATTAAATCCTACACTGTTCAAACTCTGTAAAATCTCTCTATATTTTCAGACTTCCCTGAGCCTGGTAAAAATAACATGGACATTTTTATGTCCATTTCATCATTTAAAAATTTACTGAGATTTCTTTAGATTCATCTTTAAGGACGTTTCCTCCTTTATCCTTTCATTCCCAATAAATTTTACTTTCTCATAACATTTATTTCTTGCAATAAGACAGATAGGAACTTTTGGGATTGAGGCAGTAAAAATACCATTTTTTAATCTCTCATTACTTTGTGAATAAACTTTTTACTCTATGTAACCTTTTTAGCATTAAAATACCAACTTTTTGTCATTCATTCACTTATTTATTAGATAACCATTTATTGAATATATTTTTATGTGCTTGAAAGTATGTGAGATGCTCGTGATACAGTAATGACCTGGATAGATGGAACTTCTTTCCTCATGGGGGTTATATTCTATTTGGAGGAGGAAAAACTACAAACATAAATGGACAAGGAAGATATTATCAAGTAATAAGGCATCAGGGTTAAAAAGCAAAAGAAAACAGGCTATGAGATAAGAGTACATGCAGGCTACTTTAGGTTGTTGGTTAGGGAAGGTCTCTCTGAGGAGGGGACACTTCCGATGAACCCCGAATGTCCAGAAGGCCCTCCTGGGCCAGTCCAGGCTAGGAGCATGGCAGGCATTGCGGAACAGCTGGTGCAAGGGCCCAGAATTGGGAATGAGCATGGTTTATTCTAGGAACTAAATGAAGGAGGAGGTGTTTGGAGCAGAGTGAGCAATGTGGAGAGTGGGGTGAAAAGTTGGCGGGGAGGGGCCACCTCTGCACTATAGAGGACTTTATGCACCCACAGGAAGCATTAGGATGTCATTAAAAAAAAAGAGCCTATATTTATATGAAAGAGTAATAATTTAGTAATCGCAAACTGTATATAACAAAAAAAACCCTACTCACTTTTTAAAAGTGGGTTGCATGTAGTTTGTTTAAAAATTAGTCACTCTGATGTCTCTCATGTCTTGGAAATGCATATGATTTTAGATAGCACTTTTTTATTGAACAAAACACTGCATTTGAACACTTTTGTGTTCCTTTCTCTACACCCCTACCCTGGCACACACACACAATTGCTCCCTTCACAGCAGTGCTCTGTTAAGAATCTTCTCATTTCATTTAGTTTTTGCTTAGTCCTATTCCCATGGGCTCAGCAGGAGTGGTTGGGGGAGGGAAGTGAGAAATTAGAAGCTTTCTAATTTCCTTGAAAGTTTCAGCTTTCATCCCGGGACTCACAATTAATTATTACTTTCCCTGATTCCTTGGAAATATTCCTCAGTGATCAGACTCGGAGATTGTTGCCTTCCTTGTTTCAGATGAGTTGGATTTTCACTCCCAAGCTTTGCCTCTTCATTAATAACCTTTGCATTCTTGCTCATCTAGCAAATTCCTAAACGTAGGTTACCTCTAACTCTTGCTCTCTTTGCTTCTTCTCCCAGGAGAGAGAGCACTGCCAGAGGCAAACAAAGCATTGCAGATTTGGCTCATTAGAACTCATGCTTTCAAACTTCAATCTGGTTTCTGCTGCTATTTGGCAGTCTTTTTAATTGTCTTTTCTGTACTCTCAGGCTTGCTCCCCATGGGATCTATTTTAGACCTTTTCTCTCTTTCCATGCCCCCAGTTCCAGCTGTCCCATTCCTTCTTTGGCATGTCATCTCTCCACCTAGTCTATCAAAAAAAAAAAAAAAAGTGACACTTCAATTTTTATACATTTATTTATCTCCTTATCTTTACCCCCTAGATATCTTCTCTTTTTTTTTTCTGGTGTCTATGGGGGAAAATGTCTTTATTCTTTTCTCCACAACATCTCTCTCTCTCTCTCTCTTTTTTATACATATAGAGTTTCCCTCTGTTGCCCTGACTAGAGTGCAGTGGCATCATCATAGCTCACTGCAATCTCAGACTCCTGGGCTCACGTGATCCTCTTGTCTCAACCTTCAGAGTAGCTGAGACTACAGGTGCATGCCACTACACCCAGCTAATTTTTTCTATTTTTAGTAGACATGGGATCTCATTCTTGCGCACGCTGGTACAGAACTCCTGACTTCAAGCAATCTTCCTGCCTCCTCGGCCTTCCAGAGTGCCAGGATTACAGGCATCACCCATGGTGCCTGGCCTCAAACCATCTCTTTTATAGCGAGTAACGTTTTTCATGCATTGCTTCCCACCACCTATGACTCAAGCTCCAATTCTTACCGTCCCTGACATGTGAAATCCCTTGAACTCCTTTCTATTTGCTCGGAACTATTTTCAGGTCTGTCTTAGTGGAAAAAAGTAAAATCCCATTATTTCCATTATTTGTCCCTTTATACTTCTAAGGTTCTTCCTGGGATTCAGAGTCAGCCCCTTTCCATTCTGACTTTTCACTCCACTCTCCACACAAGGAACCACATTCCCCCTCACTCTTTCTTTTATT